GACCCAGCAAAACGTACGAAACTCCACAGCCTGAGGAGCAAGCTGAGGAAATTCCGGAACAATTAAGGCGCTCAAAAGCAAAATCTTTGACCCGTCTCAAGAGCTATCGATTAGGTTACTTGATTACCCTGGCCCAAGTGAATGGAGTAGTAGTCGATCGTTCGATCACGAAGCCTGTAAAAGCAGATTATGCAAATGCCCTCATACAATGGGTATGCTCCAAGTATTTTGCGTCTATAAAGTCAAGTTCTCACCAAACCTTTCTAGTGGTCGGATGTTTCCACTCGAGTTGAGATCAAGGTGCCTTCCCCGTACCACGAACCAGTCGTAGATTTATCCAAACCCGTGTCACCATCCAACGCGATCATGAATAAGGGTATCCTGAAGGAAATATGGTTCGATATGGCTAACACTATTATCCCCTCCTGGATGACCCGCGCTCCAAGGAATTTGGGTAGTGTTAACCAGGGTTATGTCAAAGCTGACCAGTGGCGTACAGCCTGCACTGTTAATTGTGTTATTTCGTTGATCAGACTTTGGGGACATGCTGAAGCAAGCCAGCGAGAAAAAAACATGCTCGATAACTACTTGGCACTCGTCATTGGTGTGCGCTGGGCAACTATGCGCTCAACGTCGGCATCACATATCCATATCATCCAGCAATCGTTCCATCGGTATCTGACTTCTCTAATATCATTATATTCCTCAAATGTTCTTGTAACAAACCATCACGCAGCACTGCATCTAGTGGAGTGCATGGAGTCATTCGGTCCAGTTCATGGCTGGTGGTCGTTCCCCTTTGAACGGTACATTGGCGTTATGCAGAAAACTAATACGAATAATAAGCTGAGTAAGTACCTTGCTTGTCTAGTAATTGTAGCGAGCTCACTGTGCATCCAGGGGATATGGAACTCACATTCTTCTTATCCTTCTGTCGTGGAAGTAATCTGAAGGCATTAATTTTTGAGAGCAGCCTTCGTGATGGCCTCCGTGACGCTGTGGATCATTTCAAAACACTATTCGAGAAATACTTTGGATCCAATTTTCATGGAACCCTTTTGAATGATTTGCAGACCCTTAGTGCGGCAGAAATCTTGGACGAAGGCACATACGATAGTTCCGCCCTCAGACCACTTTCAAAAGAGGTGTATAGAAAATTATTACATTGTATCCAGCACGAGTCGGCCACACCACAGTACTGTACAGAAGACGATCATACGACGTTAGGAGCGATACCCATAAGTCCCATGGTACAGCAGCGTGATAGGATCACCTTCCGAGGGATCAGTTTCACGACAGGGAAGAAATCCATCGGTGACTCAATGATCCTGTATAAATCTGATCGTGAGGCAGAGGCACACGCAGGAAAAATTGATGGGATTTTCGTTCATTCTCGTGCAGGGACATGCAAAAAAATCACCGATTACTTCATGCTCGTAAAGCCTTTCCGACCATTAACACCTCTCGAAGCTACATTCGACATCTACAGGCAATACCCGCTTCTGGGTGTTCGTTTGTATCATGATGAGTTTCTAACGGAATCAGTCATCATCAAAGGTTCAGACATTGTGAGCCATTTTGCAAGCTGTGAGTATAAACACTATGGCAATGGTGACTTTCCTTCTGGCCGATACCGTGTAGTTCTCTCGTTAGACCGAGTAAGTCCTATAATTCTCATCCATCCCAACAAGATTTAATCCTAGCCAATACAGAATTAAACGTTCATACAAATATTAAATGATACTGTACATAATTGCAATATACTGATATCCCAAAGCTGGCCCCTGCAGGCCTGGCAACGCAAGAACAGTGACATTGAAGGCATCAGGTCAGCTCCTAATCAATGCTCATGCAGACCCCAGTTAGCTCCCAACGATCAGAGGTAAGTGGCAGCGCAGCGAAAGTAGCGCAGCGTGGCCAAGCCGTTACATGAATAAACCTTTGTGAACCAGCCGCGTGACAGCGGGTCGAGTCTTCAATGCTGGAACTTAAAACTGACGATTTGTGAAAGAACCGCCACCTCTCTTCTCTTCTTTGATAAGATGGGAGAAGAAGAACAATCATAGATCTTCGGGCTTTAGCTGCATGCTAGCCTGTCTCCGCCACTTTCGATATTTTGAAACTTGGTAGTATAAAGCCGAAGTCACGACCACACCAGAGCTTAGCGTACAAGGACTGTGATAGTTTGCCTGAGCGGGGCATGTTGCTCACAAATAAAGGTGTGTACTGACATTGGGGCTCTCAGCCTTGATCTCAATAAACCGCCTCGGAACCAAAGGTAATACGTTAGAACAAAGGACAGAACTAATGCATTGAAACAAGTTAGGCTGATACATGATTGAATAATAGAACTCAAGTGGTGTTTGGGCATGCCGTTCACTCACAATCTTAGGCAATAGCAGTACAGCTGTTGCATACCTTGTAATACTTGAATCTGGTGGTTATCGGCCGAACTGATGATCCCGCCAAAAATATTAGGTTCACGCCCATATCCGTGGTAATTCGGAATAGCTACCACGCTTTCTTGCCCGTGGTGCTATACAACATTCTGGTGTAGACACAACCTTATTATGTGTTAGCAGCTAGTGTACTAGGTCTTAGCAGGGTGCTCAGTAGTAGTGTACATTGTAGACATTTAACTCTGGTGATTTACTTGTCAGAGGTCCTTATGAGGTAGAAACCAGAGCCTGAGGTAGCATTGATGACCAATAAAATTTGATCTAGTATGTATATAACATTGATATCATAGACAAGCCTCAGACTTGGAGTACTAGTACTTTGTCCTCGCCAAAAATGTCATCATTGTCCACCGCTAGTCTGCATACAAAGTGAGAACAAAAACTGTAGTACAGGAATCTCCCTAAGCAAGTCACGTGTGGGGACAAGCAGACACGTAGTGTCCATATTGCCGTGTCTGCCAAAGCAATCCAACTCAATGTCACTCAGTCCTGCAAATGTGGCCAATCTACCTTTGTATTTTTGTCTTGCAGTATGAAGGCCATATACTAAATTGACACATTATTGATACCCGGATACCCCATGATACATGACTACCAACTAGAAGCAATTGGGAGCCTTATTGATGGCAGGAATGTGCTGTTTTGTGACTGCTACAGGAACAAGTAAACCAACACTTTCATTTGACTCATGCATGTTATACAGGCTCCCTCCGAATATTTGACACTACACTTGAAGACCAATCGATTATATTGAGTGAAGTGCTACAGTTTAAAGCCTGGTGGTGGTTGGTGGTGGTTGTGAGTTGTTGGAATACTACCTTGGTTGAAAATGAAGCGGAGAAAAATGTTAGGGATTAAGATTAAAGCAAAAGTTTCCAGATTTACTGTTCATTAGTATTGTACCATTAAGTGGTGGTGGATATATATACAACCTGTAGGCAAAACAGGTTGTTGTATGCTCATTTCAACGTTCTGTGACAACACCAACAAGACACAGTCTTGGGGCACTGGAGAACAACGGAAACAACACTCAGAAGAAGAGGAAGAGGTGGGAGTGGTTACCCATTTGGTAGAAACAAGTTAGTTGTTGGTAGACAACAGGAGGACTCGTTGAGTCCTTCCCCATGTATTGCTCCTGTATATATACTAAAATACATAAGGTACTGTACAGTTGTAAATAAAGTTTAAAGTCCGATGTCTAGCATGTGACTGGTCACATGCTAAGTCTAGACACTGCTCAGGTGTTGTGTCACATGGCCATGTGACTTGGAAAAAGTAAAAGTAAAATTACAAAAAGTGAAGCTTAAGTAGGTACTGGTACGTCAATTGTAATACGTTCAACATTAATGAACTTGTGGTAGTACTGCCGCTCCATGTGGCAATACCATTTTTGGAAGGCATGCCATGGATGTTGCATTTGTTTGGCTGCTTGATGGGAAGAGATTCCCATACGATGGTAACTTAGGCGCATTTGGAAGCAGACCATTGATAGAAGGAATGACTGTCTTTCTCCTAAATGGTATGCCTAGGGGAGACTAGTCCACCGCATACATTTTGTTTATTGCTAATAAGGTTTTGTTGTCAGTGTCTGAGTTATTGTCTGAGTTGTTTTCTGAGTTGTTGTCTAATGTCTAAGTTGCTGCTTTCACAGTCTAGCATAGCATCCTCTTCAATAGATCACATGGAAAATCACAGTTCTCTCCATCTTGGTCTTCCAGCTTAAGTCCTAGATGGTTAACAACAATGCTACCCCTTTCATTTGCAATGTACACACCAGTATCCATTCTTTGGTCTTGATCTGTCTGATCCTGAGTTACAGCTAAGTCTTTGCAACTAGCTGATCAATACCACTGATCTCTCATCTCAATTATCTGTGAAAAGCTTGCAAAGCCTCATAATGATTGTCTTTTCCATCATAAGTTGTATGAGCTCTTGTGGAAACCTCAGGGCCAAATGAAGTTCAGGTGCATGGAAAATTATACACCTCTCACACTTCCTTGACAGCCCACAATGAATTACAAAGTTCCCGACAGCCTGGTTAAAACCTCCAGCATGTTGTGGCTGGTTTAATGCTATGGTCCAATGCTACTCAGTTGACATATTCCAGTTCCTCCAAGCTTTGGCCCTTGTATGTCCATTTTGCCAATGAATCAAAATACTATTGCACAAAACCTTCCTGCAATCTTTGTCACTATGCCGCTTATTTTTAGAACACAGGCCAATTTGTACCGATTACATTACTTTCTTTGTCTGTCTTATGCAAACCTTTTGATACAGCTCCCTGACGGCTTCAAAGATTTTGTATCATCTCACACAGGGAACAAGGCACCTAGCAGTGCATTTTTCACTCACTGTCATTGTGAGCTCTTCCATGCTCAATGGGATATCTTGCTTGATGATGAATTCCTTGAGGCTTACAAGCATGGCATTGTCATAAAGTGCTGGGGTATGGAAGCCTATGTTCACTCATCTTCTCTGTGTTTTGGATTCCATTAAGGCCAGCCTCTGTGATACATTAGATATTTTTGTATGATATAACCCCTTTTAACAACCAGTATTTTTTAAAACCAGTTAACAACCATTTCTAGCTATTACCAAGTCTCTACTTTTGGTTGGGACACAATTCAAAGATTTATGACAAACTTATCTGAAATGAAAAGGACGACGGCCCACAATTTTGATGACCTTTTACAGGTATGCACCCCTTCTGGTGATAGTATACCTTAAACATACCACTAATCCTGATGTCTGCTCTAGTGTGCACTCCCAGTTTTGTATGGCCTCCTTACTGAGCCTCATAATACATCAATTTTGAAACTAATATTTTGCATAGCCCATTGGCATGTGCTTGCCAAGCTATGCATGCACACTGACAACACACTCAAGATACTGGAAAAGGTTGCTGTTTCTCTTGGGAAGCAACTTTGATACTTTGTGAAAAAAACATGTTCTGCCTTTTACACCTATGAACTCAAATGTGAAGCTAAGGCACACAAACATTTTCAACTCCAGCAAGCATCAGTTGGCTCAAGCCAGAATCACACTGCCTTAGACAATACCTGCCAATTCAAATTGTTTAATCTGTGTCCTTATAAGGTTCACGCTCTTGGGGATTACCTGGCACAGATTAGACAATTTGGAACAACAGGTCCTTACTCCATGGAACTGGTGAGTTGCAGTGTCATAATTTATATAAATCACTTATATTTTTTTACATGTAGGGTGAGCTTGAACATTATGTAGGTAAGACAAGGTACACCAGGATAAGTTGCAAGATGTTTACACAATAACCCACTCAAATTAAGCATTAGCAAGCACATATATGTCTCATCCAGCAAAAGCTTGCATTATCAACCCAGCATGACCACTTAGAGAAGACAATTATTAAACTTAAACTCTACCACCAAAAAGGAGCCTCTTAAAATATGCCGGTACACTTAAGCTCTTTCTCAAGTCAACAAGCTGGAGATCCAGCTCTCAAGGTCCTTAATCAATCTTATCACTATTCAATAAGGCACTTATATCCTTTTTAGGATTTCATAATAAGCCTCAAAGCACACATCCTCATCCTTCACCACATGCAATCTACAGCTTCAGATGCATCCGACAATAATACTGCACCCCACTTCCCATTATCCGAACAAAACATGGGTGATTCAGCTATTTCTGTGGAAGTTATAATCAAGAATAACAAGTTATATTGTCACAACATCCTTCACATCAACAATACAACTTATGTGTTGGAATTGTCAAGATCAAAGCCTGTTAGCCTTGTTATACAACATTGTGTTGAGTGTTGATATCCAAGGGCTGGTAGCTCAGTTGTTTAGAGCACCGCCATATATAGGCAGGAGGTCCTGGGTTCAATCCCCGGCTGGTCCAATTTGCTTTTCTGTACTCTCTGAGTCCACTGTGGATTATTACATTATGATGTTTGCAGAGTGCAAAATGTCATCAATCCCAAAAACTTGCATTGCAATGTTATGTTATTGTATCATTATGATAATACTGGCACCCAGTCTCATCTATTCTGCTATGCTCGTGTACTGGGAATCTATCATGCTAATATTGTATATGTTGATTTCAGAACCACTGACTATCAATCACATTGAGTAAATTTTTTATTCTTAAGGTGGTACAAACTCGTACACCCAGCATCCAATGGTTGGGCTACTTCTCGGCTTGATATGCTAAATTTGTTCTAATGGCAAAGAGCATGCCTTCGGATTTGTAGACCCCAGCAATGTTCTACAAAACTGTCATATAATACCCTTGTTTTCTAAAGGCATGCTTCACCCCAATTGTATCAGCATATCTCATTTAACATAGGATGTAAGGAATCAATTTTTCTATTGCATTCCCACCATGTCATGATTATCCAACCCATTCCCCATCAATCCTCTCGCCACTGGATTAGAAGTCATGGCTGTGAGGCAACGATAAACTATAACAAAAACTAAACCTATCTCCTTCTGCACTTGCAGGGAGTAAGGGTTCAATGAGCTTGAGGTCGACAGACGCTAGTAAATATAGCGAGTAGAGGACTTTTGAGTGGTAAGCTTCAAAGGTTCTTGTTGAGGAGTAAAGCGGGTAAATTCAGTAATAGAAAACTAAGGAGCCATACATGAATAGGTAAGGCTTTATATAGTGAACTGTCCATTCCTCAGACCGAAAGGAGAATATACGAAAAGTGGTCTGAGGAATCAATCGACCAATAAGAAAAAGGGAGAGTAACTATCGTACGACTTTTAACTTGATTAATCAGCAGGTGAGAGACTTGTACTAATAATAGAGGATTGTCACGCGTGTTCAGGAACCGTATCCTCATGATGAGGTACGATCCTAAATAAGGCGTTATTAGTATTACCAGGCTTTACTGGGGCTTGGAGCTGGTTGGCGAGATGCCTACTACCAGTCCTTACCCAGTGTGCTGGCTGGCT